CGACGCAGTTAGCGCCCCCGCAAGTGTATCTTTCATTGCCATAACAATTATATTGACTGTCTCCGGCTAGTTTTCGCCGTCGTCGTCGCCCTAGCCTCCTATTCCTGCGGAGAAAACATGGCCTTTCCGGCCTGGGTCGTCTGCGCGCGCGCTTATCTCGTGAGCGAACAAGTGGGGGGGGGGGGGGCGCTTATGGTAGCCGCGCTATTGCGGCAACGATCAGCGCGCGGCTTGTGCCCCATAGCAGGCGAGAGATTCTACGGGCTGCGCTCTCAACTCGAAAAAAAACGGTGCCAAAATGTACTTAGAGCGGTCGTGTTCTCTTACACCAGCGTTTTTGTATAGTTAGATCCGATCTAAATGAGTTGACTGCCAGCCTCACTTCGTATATCAACGCCGTCACTACGCACGAGGCTTGTTTGTGGTCACCTACTGTTGCCGCGCCGCAGGAAACTTGGTTACTTAGCAAGCGCATGTGATCACAATTAATGTTGCTCCTAAAGATGCTAACCAACACATTCAAATATGTTGCTATCACATTCATTGCTTCGCCCTTTTGGCGAGACTGTGACTTTTCTTGCATACACAAAAGGTAACTTTGAGGACTCGTTCCTTTATTTGGCACAACGCCATAGTCAAGGCCTCCAGATTATGAAGCGAAGGAAAGTATATGAAACGTTCATTGTACTGTGTTAAACATATTGCAGTGATTGTGACATAGATGGGAAGGACGTACATTGGACGAAAGGACAACTTGACGCCGGCAGGGACCTAAGTTTTGGTTGCAGTCCCGGTCTAATTGGCGGCGGCAAGATTTCTTTTAGCCAGCTTTATTTAATTCGCGTCTGCATCACAATTACTTCGGTACACGCAAAGCATCACGGGTAACAACCCCTATGATTTTGTTGGCTTCATTAGCTGCGGCTTTTCATCAACGTTACTTACCGGTGCGTGACATGCAACGAAGACACTCATCTGTCGTCAGGCCCGGCGTTGTAGAAAGGCTCCGCTGTTAAAAAGCCATTGTTCAGAGAAGAGGTTTGATAGGTCCAGACAGAACTGCCCCAATTTGCATGAAGAGTACAGCACCAGACTACAATTTGAAAAACAACAAGTCTTCAATTTGATTTTTTTTATTCGGTACAAGTTCAACAGCGCAATCTTTACGTGCTGTCCATCTCTGTAACAAGATATACATCGTTGTGCACGAATGATAACAGCGTTTCGAGGGTAGAACAAAAAGAGAACGTCCAAGAGGACAAATTCATACCCTGCAAATAGTACAGATGCAAGCAAAGCAACAACACATGGAACTGCGCGTAAATAAATTTGTCAGCTGCCAAAGCAACATCAAAAATAACTTGGCAAATGTATGACAAATCCGTGCAACTCGTACATAGATTGTACAACAAAGAGATGTAATAAAGTGCTCACGCTCTGCGTACTTTGGCTTGCCGCTGCCCGCAAAAGTTTACCAAGAGTTCGCGAGCGATTCGCTAAAAGAGAGTTTTCGCTATACGGACCAAGCTTGAAAATGAGACTTTCACTATACCTCATCTATTATGTAACTCCCTTGAACGGCTTCACCGCAGAATAGTTACAGCCAACAACTTTCTTGTACCCATAAAAAAGGATGATCTAAAAGTTAATAAAAAACTTATGCAAACATTGCCTTCTTATTTCGCGCTGTTTCTTGATTGGCGCGGCATCCACGCGCCAATCACATTCACGAAAAACTTCTCGCAGGCGCGCGTATGTTAGCATTACCAAATGCATCATCCCCCACGAAACTCCAGCACATTTCACTTTAATCTGTAGCACCCAGAGAAAAGGCCTAATCGAGTTAGGCTGGAAACGAAGCTTTAGCACCAAAGCAATCTTGACGCATCTCAGAGATCTGGCTGTGTTTTGTGCATACTTTGACGGCCATGACTTTCACGTCGTGAGCGCACATCCGGGACTTCACTTCAATTACGTTAGCGCAGTCACACCACAATATATTAAGCGCGGACACTTGATGCTCGTTGAATATCGCTAGCAAGGTTCACCACGAGGGTTCTTTCTTTTTTTTCACGCTGTTGCCACTGACATTTTCTCCACATCGACAGGCATGCTTGTCATGTTTTCTTCACTAACAAGGAACTGACATTCGTATCGACAGGAGCGCTCTGCGTTCTCAAGAAGTAGAACATTGCTTACAAACGCTAAAGCATATACAATAAAAAGCCAATAAAGAAGAACGAACAAAGCTTTCGCATCACAATCTAATGCTGACATTGAGGCACAGAGATAACTTTCACTCCCTGATGTAGATTGTACACACTGGCAAATCAAAAGCAATATATTGTATTATGGTTTAACATTGCATCACGAAAAGCAAGAACGACGAGAACATAGCCCTCAAGCCAGCACTGATTTCGCTGGTTTTGTGTAATGCTATTTTCTACATCTACTACCTGCACCATTTTGCACATGCCAATAGCATTGTATGAAACGAATATGATATGTTGCAGGGACCGCTCAACATTTCGCGAAAAACTCTTTTCCAAAATCGAAATACGATGTGCTAACAGCACATTAACTATTGCATTTATAGTTGTTTTACTGTACTCCCAGAATTTCTTTATCGCCTATTATATTTTTTATGTTTTGTTATGCGTGTTATTTCCACTTGTGTTCTTTATTTGCTCATTCATTGTAATCAGTGTGTACCCTCATATTGTTCCATTGCTTAGGAACTTACAACCTGGATGTACGATCCCCCCCCCCCCCCCTTATGTAATGCCTTCGGGCCCTTAAGGTTGAATAAATGAAATGAAATGTAGACCCGTTGTCTAACAATGGTTACAGTAACATATTGTAGTGAGTCTGGGCGCTGAATGCTCCAGTTATTCGAACAGACTGAACCACATTAAACAGGTTTGCCGACTTCATACATAACTAATTAGCGCAAAAAAGACCGAACAATGCGAAGCAAATAGACAGAAAATAGAGCTAATTGCTTTTTTTTGTCTTGTCGTTCGCACTTTTCGCGCTTAATAAAGATGACCCAAGTCAGCGATTCACACGTACTGCCACAACTCGCATTTCTAAAATTGAAAAGGTTCCCTTGCGCCGCTTATACATGACGGCACTAGCGGGCCGTCTTGGTCCTCTGCCAACAATTACTATTGCACGCGAACAATGTGTTTCACACAAGTCATGTTTCTATTTTAGCTAGCAGGTGTAGTCCATGTTTGAATGAGGTCAGACGCTTAGAGAACGCCAGCATTCTCAGATAACGTATTTTAAGGAGAGTTAGATGTGCACAGAGTATTGATTGATTGACTTCATTTCTATTGCGCGAGATCCAGTCTTAGCCAAAGTCAAAGCATATTATAACGTGACAACAACGTAATACTAATACTAATGAAACAAGCGTACGTATTATTGTAGAAAAATGTGCTGCAATCCCATAATGCAGCGGGACACTGTAAATATTTTGGCTCCTTCGTATATGTCTCTGCGTCGACAGCATTCTGTCTCAGCGGATCTTAGCGAGCTCGATGGTTGCAATACCAACTGGAATATAAAGCACTAATTTTGCTACATGGAGAAAAGGAACCGTGAAAAAATCCCAGGACAGGCGACGAGCGAGTCCTCGTCACAAAATTTGCGCCGTCTTTGCACCCTGTGTGATCTCAGAATCCCCTAACTTGCATCCTATTATTTAACTTTGAAGCAGTTTACGCTTAATTTAACGAATCGACGAAAAAAAAAAGGCTCTGTACAACCCAAGCAACAACGTACAGAAGCGGATCGGTTGTCCACGACGAGGCTTCAAGAATGACAGTGACGTGGGTATGCGTTCGTCGCGGGACCTGAATGAAGCGCATACACGCGACACTAACATGAAAGGTCAATGACCAGCACACTGGTTTACACCACCAAACACCTACTTTACACTTCCTCGAGAAATCCCCACTGCACGCTTTGCACTGTAACGCAGGCGCCTTTCCTGTTGCACTAAATGCTGCGGTTCTTGATATCAGATCATTCTAGCAGAGATGTACGGTAAAAATGTGCGCACGGGTTAAAGGGACGCTCTAAAGTGGAACAGTAAATCATCTTAGACTGAAGATATGTGATCGACAAACTCGTGTGGTTGATTTTCCCGCCACAGGTTTTGCAAGAAATGAAAAAAGCTGTGCCAAATGTATCGCTTTTAAACTTCCCACAGAAAAAAAAATCTCAATCTGACGTCACGAACTTCAACGTGTTTTTAGTATTTTGGCTACATTGGCTCGACAAAATTTCTTGAAAATTGGCATATCAGGTCTCCGTATGTACCTAATTTTTTTTACCTGTTACCAACTACGTACATCCTATTAGACTCCATTAATATCGATGACGTCTTGGTGACGTGTGCGGGGACTTCACGGTGGTGTCGTGAGCCGCATTTTTGCGCGTTTTCTCACCGCAAACGAGATGTTTTTGATACCGTAATTCACTAATACGAGAAGCATATTTTTTAAATCTTTAGTGCCGGTTAAAAGTGCTTTGGAACCTTACTGTCGTACAGGCCAGGTGAGAAGCTATGGCAATTGTGTAGTCTCGCCTTTGCCTTTTGAATGGCTTGTACGGGAGGAAATCGTAACATACGCGAAAAAGAGTGAGAGGTTACTCATGTAGTTAACGTTGTTTTCTTTTCTGCAAATATTGCAAAGTGCTTGAAAAAAAAAACACAACTTGGCTCACACTTGAGAGTCGCCTGCAAGAGTTGAATGTGATAGCAAAGCCGAGCCCTGTCCGCATCGGCTTCAACCATGCGGCAAGGAATGATTATCTGTGTGCTGAGCATTAGACATTTTCTAGAATGTCTACTTGATGTACAGTTGCTAAATGTCCACTACGCCATAATTCCTTCTTGCCAACGGGCGAATGGCGGAGTATACCAACTACTCGAACCAAGGTGCTACACACAATGGTTGTCAGCTTTATACTACCCGCTCGTTGAACAATTCAGTATTTTCACACCGGGCGCCGTTCTACCATTCTGTCACGCAATATGACAAGCGTTAACGAGCATCCACCCACTACATGACATTCGCGTAGTTTTCTTTTTTAACGAAGCAGTTTAAAACTTGCTCAACAGCGTGCTAGAACGCCTGCTTGCCACGCAAAATGCCAGTGTTCGATCCTCCCTCGGCCGAAGAAACTTTAGTATTTATTTATTTGCATCTATCTCGAATTCCTGTTCGGGGACAACGTCGATTTTTTTAATAGCGAAACTAATGACGCCGACGCCGATATCAGAATTTCTGCGGCACGAGCCGTTTAACGCTGTTGCGTTAAAATATCTCTAAGCATCCACTGGTGGAATAACGCTATCTGCTTACCATTTGCCGGAACATTCTCCAACCACACATTTATGTTATATCGTAAAATTTGTATACATCATTGCCTCTTTTTTTCTACCGCATCCCGTTAACGAGGCTTTGCATCACGGCTGGCTGAAGCCTTTCGCCTCGCTATTAGTAGAAATAATTAACGCCAGCTTTCTTAACTATAAGACAAATGAAGAAGCAGAACGCTTTCCTATGGCGACTGCATTCGCTGGTGTCGTCTTATCACTATAAACGCAACTAGCATTATCTACTGATGTTTTTTTTTTTTTTTTGCCTTAGCATGCATTCATGGAGCCACGCATACGTCCAACGTTCGATATGCCGTCATATTACGCTATTTTAGACTTTTAATTTTATACACTTACAAGAACTGAAAAGCGGGGGAAATTAAGCTAGTGTGCGGTAGATTGGGAGTAAAGCGCGGAACCCATTTTAAGGCAAACTTTGAAAAACTTGCAGAAAACCATTGATAACGGCAAGCAACGAAAGTTGTGCCTCTATACAGCGTTCGTCCCCTCCAACTTCCCCGTTCTTTCTCTCTTGATATCCAGCTATCGAAAATCGTTACATCATTGATGATGATGCTAACCATGGCGCATTGAGGGATAGGAAAGATGAGGTGTACGGCGATGCGGGCGTATTTTAACGGTGGCTTTGACTTTTGAAAAGTGAAACCTACTTTATAGAAAATGCGTGCAAAAATAAACAAACTACCGGATTTCTAGAAAGCGCTCCAACAGGCTAAAGTGCGGTACGCTTGCAGCGACATTGTCTGAGATGTTTTTGTGTATATACCTAGCATACCCTTTCGGCCAGCTACTCACCCTGTTACACGAACTCAAAGCGCAAGCCGCGGCTCGTAACCCGCATACAATAAATCGCACCACTTCGACCATCTTGTTGCTTTATACATCATTAGATGAATTGCAGTGTTTCCATCATTACCACGTATCGTGCAGGGGGTCTCAAACTACGCGACCCGTGGACCTTTTGCTAGTCCCCCAGCACGAACATTTCATTTTATTTATTCTGCATCATTTCAAACATATATATCTCATCCAGTGATTGAATGAGAAGGGGTGGTGAAAATCTATGTATCTGAATGCCTGAAAACGCACCAACCCAATGAATACGCGGTGAAGACATGACTGTCTTCATCCCGCGTGTTTTTTGCTATTTGCTGAATCGGTATGTTCGTGAGCTACACATACACGACTCGCTTCGAACATTAATTTTGTCACTAATGGGCCAACGAAGAGTTGATATATAATTACGGAACAAAAGCCCTGTAAGATTAGTATCGATATGTTTCCAGAATTCCGACTCCGAATCCCCTTGAGAAATGACTCCTAAGTAGGAAAATCGTTTTCTGAAAGGGCAACGGGGAGACTAAATTTCATGACTACGGCCCGCTACTGAAGGCGAGTTTCGTTCTGCAATACACGATGACTACCCGATCAGACACTTCTGCTTTTAAACACGAAAATTCCTTTCAGCCGTCCACCACCAGTCAGAGAGTACAAACTCATTCTCACGCACTATAGTTCAGATTTACACGCAGCGCGTGGCGGGCAAATGATTTCGCACCAGGCGTTGCCAGGTCACAGTCACACTCACACATTGAGAAATTGCCGAACACTATTTCTTCCATCCGCGCATAACGCGATAGAGAAAACAAGAACTATAGCGATACGCGAGATTTTTTTCCAAGTCTTTTTTTTTTTGTTTAGCACTCGTGTTTGTCGACGAAGAACGTCGAGGCTTTCTTTTTTCCCCAGTTCGGCAACAATGCGTCACCACAGACGTCGGATTTTGGTTTCATCTGCAGCGTGGGATGTCCGCCGTAGACGAGCGAGTGGATAGATGTGCATGTCTCAAGATGCCGGCTGTGCCAAGAGGAACGCATAGGTGACGCCGTCATCACGCGCTCGGTTTCTGGATGGAACAGGCTAGGAACCGCTGGATCAGCTTCTGGGCGTCTTCTGGCAGTGGCCTGCGCACAACAGTAAAATAGGGGACAACGTGATCAGACAGCTGTTGGGAAACCTGTGGGACAGTAGGAGGACTGCATGTTCGGTCGAATCAGCAGTTCTCGAACGGGAGTACGCGAACCACAGGGGGTCCAGAAGCTATTTTCAGAGGTAGGCAAAACCCATGCTCCAGTGAAAAAAAAAAGAAATATATTGGGGGATCCTTAAGTTTCGTTTATAAGAGTTGAACGCGATAGTGAAATCCAGCCCCTAGCGCACCCTTCAACCACTAAGCGCATACTTATTAATGTTTTGTTACATACACACGCACGCACACAAACACGCACACAGTAAATTGGACCAGCACACGCTCTTATCGCCGAATGGGGTCGTTTTCGGCGTACCAAATGCGTTAAAGGGGCCCTGAAACACTTTTTAAAATAACCATAGAATTAATTCACCAGAAGAGCTTATTACCTCACAAATTCAACGCCGCAAAATTTTAAGAATCCAACCAGTGCGATTGGAGTTTCAAAGGTTTGTCGCATGCTGCAGTCACATTATCTCTTATCTCGTCCCGACGAAAGCGCTGAAAGCTAAGCAGGAAGGGGCGGCAGGGCAAAGATAATACCGCGCCTTGTGACCTTGAGCGCTTTTTTTTTTCTTCCAACGCGCGGCTTTTTCAGTGTGATCACGCGCGCACACGCGGACAAGTAGCAGCCTCCCGCGGCTTTCTCGGTAACTTCATTTTTCGGTCACAAAAGATTTTTTCGCTCAAAACAACGGGGCCGACACCGGCGGCGGGTTTTCTGCGACACGAGCTCTGTAACGCGATCGCGTTAAAACGCGTTGTTTATAGCTACACCACTAATTAGCGGCCCTTTTCAATTTGTTTGTATACTTCACCGCGTTGCATTCTTGCATTTCGGCGGAGCTGACTTGTGCTTTCCCTTCTCCACGAGATGGCTAAAATGCTGTTGCAGTTTTATACGGCATATGCATAGCATGTTTTTTTTTCAGGCTTGCATACTTGAAAAGCATACACAACTGGAAAACAGGTTAAATGTGGCCGCAGACCGCACATCAAATCGGCAAGGCTGTTTAGACTGAAATAGCGTGACAGCCATACTTTGCAACGTAGAAATGAAAGGCAGCTGCTATTTCACACTGCATGCTTCGTTAATTTATGACCCCGATTCCTCTTTAATCCTTCTAATACTCTAATCCCTCTAATACTCTAATACTTTAATCCCTCTAAAAACAACTCAGTTTTGCAGGAAGAGAAGAAATGAATGTGATAGCAACAGATGGAATGTCACACGAAGTAAGGCTAGCAACAAACTTGTTTAGGATCCGTACTCGTGCATCTCACACAACGCTGGTGTGGGGGAATACGGCCACTCGAGGGAGCGAAGCGGGTTCGTGCTGCCTGTCTTCTCAGCTGTCTACAGAAGTCTGTCGACATTGCACGCGCGAACGCGTTACTTTTGGCCAAAGCTCGTAACATGCCCCCCCCCCCCCCCCAAACACTGAGAAACAGTAGTGGTGGCTGGGGGACGCGTTACTCATGCTCCTTCGCCTGACAAAAGACTGTCATCGCATGCGGCCGTCGTTCGACCGAGATAGCCTAGCTTCAGCCGTTCTGAGATAATTAGCGTAGCTTCAACCGTTATACAAGCTGCGCTCTCTCTATCTACTCACTATCTCTCTCTCTACCCACGTACACACGAGCGTTTTTGTACTACTGCTGGCAGAGCAGCGCACAAAACGGAACGTACAGGACCAACGCTGCCCACCTAAGAACACTTGAGCAATACATCTTTGTACCGCCTTTTTCTTGTGTGTGTTTTAGGTCGCCGTGAAGGTCGTCGTGAACCACTGGCCCTAGAAAAGTTGTCTATTTTGTGTGGTTTTAGCTTTCTTTTTTTTTCCTTGCGGTCTGACCAATTAGTCTGTTCTTAGCGCTATGCATTGTCCAAGCGCCAGCCAGACTATAAAAAAATCATAAAAATGTCGCAGTTTCATCACAATGGCAAATCAATTAATGTGATAGGAACAAATTGTAATGTTATACGAAGCGAGACTGGCAGGTAATGCTTTTGGATTTGATATCGCGTAGCTCTACAAAACGATGGTGTAAGGAAGTACGGCCGCTTAAGAGATAGATGCCCATTCAGAACAGTGTTCTCACGTTGAGAGCGCTGCACGTGGAAAGGTATACGAGCCTCCCCTGATGGCTTGAGAAATAGCGCCAGCGATCACGACGACGCCCTTAAAGGCAAAGTTCAAAGTTGCTCCTCGAGCAGTTCTTCCCCCCCCCCCCCCTCTCACGTTTTTCATGCCCGACCGGGGTGAAGCTATTATTGCATTCGCCCTACGAGCGACGAAGATATGCCGACTTATTTGATCTCTACTTCAGCTGCGTCCGTCACCTTTGCGCGCGATATTTTACCCGCAATGGAACATTCGAAGTTAGGGCTTTATACGTGACATGACGGCGACGGCGAAAACCCGTCGAGAGTGTGCATATGACGGCTATCGCAATAAAAGGGCGGGAAGAATGCGGGTGTTCCTTACTTGAGACACTTGTACATGACCTCGACTATGCGGGGCACCACGATTAGGGACTCGTCGCGCTGGATGGCGTCCACCACCCGGTAGGCAACGTCTCTCGTGTCCATGATGGGCGTCAGCAGCGGGAACCTGCGTGCGGGACGGCGGTACGAATAGCGTCACATGCCGCCCGCTCATCACAAGGAGGAACGCGCGCAACAAGAGTACACACAAACAAGCAAACAGTATCCAACCGATCAAAAGCAAAGCAACACAGAACATGCGCGTAAAGGCACCTTCGTTGCGAATGGGACACACAAATGCAGAAAGAGATTTTTTTTTCCTCGTATAAGTAAATGACTCTTTCACAATACGGAAAAATGCTTGCTGCAATAAGACGCTGGGTAAGCGAGAAAACACGAAACGTGTAAATGAGGGTGGTGACTCCAAATAGTACACGCCGTATCAATCGCAGTGACGTCATAGATTTTGAAGGTGTCTGTTAGAACCTACGTAGTTCCTGATCAGTAGAAACGAAGTACATCAGCTTTGAGGGAACCAGTGACTTAAAACGGGAAGGTTCAGAAAATTTCATAGAGCCAATATGGCTAAAATGCAAACAAACAAAAAAAAGAAACGTGACTTCGCCATTAGAGGTTTCGGCGCGCCATTTACCAGTGACACTATTGACACTGACCTTCTTGGGTATTAATTATCATGCGGTTGTGAAATTAACGTCATTGAAGTTTTGCGACTACAATTCATCAGTGTGATCTCATTTATAATTTAATTTCTTTTTAAATGAAGTAACTATTTGCAGAACAAACTCATTCTCTGCTGCCGTTTGCCTTGACAAGTGATCCAGATTTGCGTCAGTAGGATCTTCCCAATGCATCCTGTCGTTATTCATCCAAAGTTGATTCCGTGGAGAACTTCGAGTAAGGTGTATTGCTGGTGTTTCAGGTTTGCCCGAGTCTGTACGGGATTTAGTCTATGCCAAGAGAGGTATGTTTAGAAACATTATGTATTTAGGGACCATCTAAGGATCGACAACACGACGTAATTTCGCGTGTGTACATGCGTTTAGCAGGTGCCTTTTAAAGACTCTGTAAGGTCTAGCGTCAAGGGGGAGACGGGATGCGAGTGTGTTTGTTCCCTCCAAAAAGCGCGCCTTCCAAGAAGCCAGCTCCGGAGCGTCGAGGGTTTGCGGCGCGTCGCGATGCTCGTACAAAAAAAAAAAAAAAAACACACAACTCGCCGCTGACAGACATTAACCCCCCCCCCCCCCTCCCGCTTCGCGAAACTATTCGAAATGGAAAGCCGTGGTCAGTCCACCATCATTTTAACGACCAACGCTAATGCCTCCCTACAGCGAGGGGGGGGGGAGGGAGGGAAGCGGCGTGAAAGTGTCCAGTTTGTTGACTCCATCATATCTCGGATGATGTGTCTGCGAAGCGCCTGTCAGACCAGACGGTGTACCACCTCGTGGCATGGGCCCTCTAGCGCTAACCGGCCGCACTTAGTAACTTGATCCGGGGAGCTGGGCGACGCCAACATCGAATGTTTAGTAAGCTAGCTATTCAGAATGTCGGTGTTGGCCGTTCCTTTTTTGTCTCTCTCTCTCTCTCTCTCTCTCTCTCTCACAAGTGGCTCAAAGGCTGCAGGGAGAGAGGCGGGAGAAGGGAGACTACTGGCATATGAACTTGCAGTCTGTCCAATAAGTGTACGGAATGTTTTTGATTTGCTGTGAGGATAACTGGGAGGAGCGACAAAGGGGTTAAAACCTGGCGCCCGGCTCCTCACAAGGGGGTTCCGGTCGCAGCAGAAGTGCTATGCACTATCAGCTCTGCCGAGGTAAAAAGCCACAGTTCCAAGTATGAAGAGTTGTCTTGTACATTTGTATATATCTTGTATATAAAGTCGAATTGTTGCTAAAGAGAATGGCTGGTCTCGATCCCTGCGAAGCGGCGGCAACTATGACGACGCAAGGCAAATCAGCTTCGACCAGTCTCACACTCCCTTCTACAGGGACGGCGGCAGAGCGGCGAAAAGAGCTCCGCTCCGAGATTCACTGGCTCGTTCACGCCTGCGACTAGCAGCGGCCACGCGACCATCTGCAACTCTCGACCAAAAAACAATTCAAGCCGACCGATGTTCACACCCGAGTACGAACTGTGCCCGTTACCCCACAGAATTTACATCTGCTTGCACTGCCATTACCCTGTAAAATGAGCCGAAGCCCTGTTCCTGAGCAGCTGTTTGCCTCAAAAGTTTGCGACTGCCGTCGCGCGACTAAAAGGCCCGTTCACACCGAGGACGGATCCAGATAGCGGGCGCGGATCATCCGGAAAAGCGGAAAAACCACGGCCGCTCCCGCGGATCGCACTTGAACCGATTTTATCCGCGCTGAAAAGTTGGCCGCTTCGGCCGCAGCCAGTCAAGGCCTAGACGCACGCGCCCCAGTATTTCGTAGGGCCACAAGATAGCGACACATCCACCGTTGATAAACGTCCCCGGATATTCACCATCGACAGGTGGAACGCACGTGCCTTGAAAGGCTCGTTCACACCGAACTCGGCGTGGCCGAAGCGGGACAGCGGGGAAAACTCCTCTCTAGTTGTGCCATTCCGGACACCGTCCCTCCTCCTGTGCCGCGCGCCCAGCCAAAGGAGGCGTGCAGCCTGAACAAGTGCGCACACTTGCCACCGCGATAAGCTCGCTTTCCCGCATTGCCGCTCCGCCTTCGGTGTGAACGAGCCCTAAAGTGGAACGCAGGGAAACGCCCTTCTCCAGGCGGCAAAAACGGGCGGAAAACGAGGCGGCGAGCCGCACAATCATATGGTGATTTCGGCACGCAAAAACACTTTTATTTTTGTTTAAAAAGGCCCTGCAGCATTTTTAAAGCATGGCCAGAAGATACTTCCGATTGCGTTACTCGTTATTAATGAGACCTAGCAGACAATAATGCCAAATAAAGTATAGGAGAAGTTACTACACCGAATTGTAATGTAAATGTGAAGAAAGAAAAGTGGGTGAAAAGATAACTTGCCGTAAGAAGGAACCACACACACACACTATATATATATATATATATATATATATATATATATATATATATATATATATATATATATATATATATATATATAGTCTAGTAGATCCTCCGTGAGCGGTCACAACGTGGTTTATTTCGACGTTTCGGCCTAGAGTCTGGCCTTCATCAGGAATAAAGATACAGTTTGTCGGTGCTCAGCTTTATACAATCTCAAATCAGAGGGCAAGGTAAGAGGGAAAAAAAGAAAAGAAAAAAAAGGAAAGAAAAGAAAAGGAAAGAAAAAAGAAAAAAGAGAAAAATAATATACGGTGAACGCCCCTCGGGTGCCCCCCTTCCACTTTTCCCTCCACTCCCCCCCATCTCTCTCCCCCCTCTCCCCTTCACCTTTCTGATGTCAGCGGTCTGTGTATGTTTCCGTTCACTAGCGCATTCCTCCCGATCAGACGGTCCCTCCTGGCACTGGCGGTTCGGTGTGGGGCAAAAAAGAGCTTTTCAGGAAGTCCTAAGCCTTTAACTGCTCGGGGTCCCGTAAACAATTCGTCGTAGAAGGACGGGGACCGCGTATTGTGGCAGAGGCTGGTCAGCGGGCATTTTAGGTATATATATATATATATATATATATATATATATATATATATATATATATATATATATATATATATATATATAATCGGCAACATGTTCCACATTTTTCCGTTTTTCTTGGTCGCCTCCGCTGGCGGCGCGTCTTACCTATACCCAGTAACAATGCCAGAATTGCCCGCTCGTTCCGGCGGCTCTCCGTCGCTCCTTTCTAGTTCCTCTCCTTCTTCTGCTTCTTGTTGTCTGTTGCTACCTCGTTCGCCCGTTTGTCTCTTTTTTTTGGAGGGTCTTTAAACTGTGAGGGTGACCCTCTGCTACGGGAACTTGTATCATTTCACTTACATCCTCCGAAGAAGGCTGGTCCACCAGCCGAAACTGTTAGGATTAAATAAATATTTTATTGTTTTGTTTCCTATACTGCACTATTCTCGAAGTTTATAACTTTTTTTACGGTAGCCGGAAGAAACTCTGATCATCTATATATATATATATATATATATATATATATATATATATATATATATATATATATATATATATATATATATATATATATATATATATATATATGGTTTGGTGGTTCGGTTCCTGCCAACGGCAAGTTATCTTTTTACCCACTTTTCTTTCTTCACATGTGCATTACGATTTTCTAATATTATTGTACGTTAAATCTCATTATTGTTGTGTCAAACACGGAAAAACGAGCCCTTAAGTCTATACTTTCTTCCTTTATATATATTGTAACAGACTAGAAAAGGGTAGAGAGGAGAAGCAGAGGAAGACGAAGAGTCTTGGCACGATCGCAGTGTGCTGCCGCAAACGACCATCGTTCACCTCCTGTAAATAAAACCATCTTATCACAGCTCGCTGTTACAGTTGTGGTGGACGTGCTGGGTAATCGACACCCGAAGACGGAAGGTGAACCGCAAGTTCTTCGACGGAGCCGTCGCATTGCTGGACTTCCACCGAATCCATCTGGGCTGGACATGTCCCACAACGCAAATGAACACCGACCCCTCTCGACTCCTGCGCCGACCAGTTCGGCTCCACAACTGAGAGATGCTCGTCCCTTTGCCGGCAGACCAGATGAAGACGTCGAGGCTTGGCTCATCCATTACAAACGGGTGAGCGCCGCTAACAATGGGATGCCGCTTCTCAGCTTTTGTACGTCGTGTTCTTTCTGACCGATACTGCATTAATGTGGTACGAGAATCGGGAGGAAACGCTAACGACGTGGGACAGATTTGTTTCTGAAATCAAAGAGCGTTTCGGCGACCCAACAACGATAAAAAAAAAGAGCAGAACAGACGCTAATGCAACGCGCTCAAGTGCCAGGTGAAACTTGCACGACCTACATTGAGGAAGTCATAAAGCTATGTAGGACCATTGACTCCGGAATGTCTGAGGAAGACAAAGTCGGGCACATTCTAAAAGGAATCGCCGAGGATGTTTACAGTTTCCTCATCGCGAAAGACACCTTGACATCTGTCACCGATGTCCTTCGTCATTGCCG